GGGCCATACCTCTCTCTCTCTCTCCCCCTCCCTACCTTGGCCAGAGCTGCAGCACACCCAGATCCCCACCCCACCTAGAGATGCAGCATGTCGCAATCTCCTCCCTGCCCAGAACCTGCTGCTCACATCTGCAGCTTATGCCAGCACCTGCTGAGTGTGGTGGAAGCAGCCCCAGGCAGGCACCAGCAACAGCTGTGGATGTGGCTAGCAGGTTCCAGGTGGGGTTTGGGGCATCTACCTGGGTACATCGCTGCTGCTGCTATGTCAGTGTTGGGCAGAAGTAGTCCTGCCTACCTGGCATGGTGAAAATGGTCCTGCCTACCGAGCACCACACAGCAGGTAAAGCTGGAGCGACCACCTGCCTGCAGGCTGGTTCCCATAAGTTCACAGCTGCCCACGTTTTGCCCACCCTGGCCTTACAGTCTGAAAAGTGGCACCTTCTTGCTCAGCTAACCTGCCTATTTATGCATTCATAGATGTTAGGGGCTGGAAGGGACCTCTCAAGATCATCAGGTCCAGCCTCCCTGCACTTGGACAGGAAAGACTGTTGGGGTCAGATGACCCCAGCAAGGTGAGCATCCAGACATTTTTTTAAGATATCCAGAGTATGTGATTGTACCACCTTTGGGGAGAGTCTATTCCAGACCCTGGACACTAGAGTTGTAAAGAAGTTTTTCCTTATGTCTAACTCCAGGCCCCAGCTTTATACACTCCACAGTGACAAAAATATTTTGTTCTATTTGATTTCTGTGAGACCTGAAAAGCCAAAATCCCTACGAAGAGGGTGCTAGATCCTGCTCTTCTCCCACATCATATTTGTTCACTATTGTTCAGCATTTACACTGATGTCACCACAGTTCTTTGATTACTAATTCTAAGGAAATGGAAGGAGAAGAGAAGCTTGCTTGGCTCAGATCCCAAGCTGCATCTGCAGGTGTAAAAAAGGACACCTTTTCCTTGCTAAGAAGCATGTGAAAGAGGGAATTAAGGAAAAATTAATACAGAATCCCACATTGCCATTTTTACAGTTACTTTCAGAATAGAGGCACAAAATTTAAAGATCCTCCAGATCTTCTCTCCCTCCTTCCCACATTGCCTTTGTTCATTATTAAGTCTTGGTCTGCAATTTGGAATTTTAGGAAGAAACTTGCACTGAATTTAGCACCAATTCAATTACACTGATGCATTTCACAAAGTTAAAGCTGTCAGGGGTAAAGGACAAGCAGAAACCACAGCCTTACATGTATTAGGGCTCCCAGCAGTACTATCCTGATACAGCTACATCTATAGTAGCACTGGTAGATATTGTTTTCCTACTCTAATTCCCCAATGATTATACAATTTTATGTCTCGGACGGCCAGGGCCGACTCGAGTTACGCTCGTACGTCAGGGCGGGCTGGTGAATGGAGAGGCAGACACAACTTATTGGTTGCAAAAAACTTTACTCACGCCGCTTGCAATCACGACGCAGGTGGTCCGGTCGTCGGAACAACCACACGAGTTGCTCCAGCTGGCGGGGCCCAAGCCAGTTAATCCGTCCGCAATTCGAAGCCGGCGGGGAAAGGGGTACGTCTGGGGTTGTGCTCGGCGACGGGAAGAAAGATCGATAGGTGATCAGTCTATCGATCGGCAGCCGCAAGTCAGATAACTTCAGGGGCACTCTGCAGCGTGCTCAAAGCTCTTCGACTTGGGCGGAAGTCACGCGGAATTTTAAACGGCCAGCGAGCCAATTACTAGCCGCCACGTGTGAATAATTTAGCACTGGCCAATAGCGGGGCACAAATTTGCATCCGAATAGCGGGAACTCTTTGCACCGTGCATTTCTGTGCTGCAAAGAAGAAATGCATCCTGCAAAGGAAACTGCAAATTGGCGGGAACTCTCCTGCACGCAGGCTCTCAATTGCAGCAGAACACTCTGCTGTGCAAAGGAGCTCTCATGTGGCCAGGAAATTCCATAGTGCCGAGGCACAAAAAATCACTGGGTTGTGACATTTTATAACCCTGACTCCTTCAGTTCATCATTTTGCTCTTAAAAGCTGCCATTTGCTGTACTCTGTTATCCTTCAAAACTTCTATTGCAAATCCTTCTATACACTGCCCCCCCATATCCTACGACAGAAGAAACATTTCAACAGGCCACAGGCCATTTTATTTGCTCATATTTGCATTTATTTCTTGTGTAAATTCCTATTTGGGGCTAATCACACACAGTTGTACTTACTTTATGAATTACATCTTATATAACATTTGTTCTAGTATCTTTTTATGAAAGGACTGCTAGGTTTCCATACAGAAAGATTTCCTGCATGGGTGGGATAGCTGAAAAGAATTATAGAATGATAAAAGACCTGGTTTTACAGAAATATTTCTCCATGCACAAAGTCAGAAAATAATTTTTTTTGCAGGTGGCTTTCACCTTGTAAGACTTCAAAAGATACCTTTAAAGTTTAGAAAAGGCCTTTTGAAGTGACCAAAAACAAAAAAGATTAAAATATACTACATATATACCACTAAATATTCCTGTAAACTGCAAAATGGTAATGGTGACTGCCTTAAAGAAATGACGCAACAGCTACCACTTTAACAAGGAATGAATATTTCTGTAGAAACAGATAAAAAGCAAGAGCTAAGAGTGGTCAGGGCACACTGTTTGAAAGACAGACATATCCACAGACAGACTGCACTATGCTGACAAGAGCTGCTAGTCACAGAAGGATACTGGTAGCAACCTTTCTCCTTTTAAATGAAGACTAACAATCAGACAATGGGTATTTATAGATTGCTACTTGGCAAAAGTACATTTAAATACCTTGGGGTATTTAAAAAATGCATTTTGCAAAGAAGTAAAAGAAAACCATAATACCTTTAGCAGTATGGGTCTATGGTATAGGAATTAAAGCCTTTAATAAAGGGCAAATAAAGTAAAAGTAATAAAATGGGGATTGTAGGGGTGCACCGATAGAGATTTTGGAGGCCAGTACCAATAGTTGATTTTTAAGGAGGCATATCGGCCGATACCAATGAGATTTCCCATACAGCTGGCTACAGCTGGTAAGTCCATTGTGGTGGAGGGGGAGGGGAGAGGGAAGGGGTGTGAGGGGGCAGATCAATGCTGCATGCTGTGGTGAGGAAGGGGCAGGGGCAGGTGCTGCCCAGCTGGGACGGGGCTCGTTGGGGCCAAGGGGGGAAGAGGGGCAGCTCCCACTGCTGCTTGCAATGCAGGAGGGTTACAGATGAGGTTGTGCCAGGGTATTTTCCAGGCAGGGACTATGGAGGGGGCTGCAGCCACCCCAAATTTCATCGCGGCCCCACTCCCAGCACCCCCACCACTGTACGCCTAGCACAGCCCCCACTCAATGCCCCGCCTCCATCCACATGCTGAGAAGAGCTGGGGTGGCACTGGCTACACAGCAGGGCTGAGAGCGGGGCTACAGCAAAATCTGGGGTGGCTGCAGCCCCCACCAGAGCCCAGCCCCTGCCAAGAACAGCCTAGTGCAGCCCCAGCTGCTCCATGCTGCACTGTGGCTGTGCGTGTACACGCATGAGCATTTATCGGCCAAATTATCGGGTGCATTGGGCCAATTTCCGATGCAGCCAATTTTCTTTGTATGGATACCAATCCGATATTGGGCCAAAGTATCGGTGCACCTCTCAAGGATTGGTTACATTTCAGTATCCCTTGGTTCTTCAAGGACTAGCAATGAGAACTTCATACAAATCCAAATGGAAGACTCATAGCATTTACTTCTAATCTTGAAGGGTTCTCAGATATTGGACTTTAAGTGCCTGATATTACTATGTACAGAAACCTATTTTAGGAAATTATTAAAAAGTTTCTAGAACACTAACAACTTCCCTTTTCCTATAAACTCTGAAATATTTGGCTTACAGCTCTGAAGCCCCCTGGGTTATAAATGGAGGTCAGAGCACCAATATACATTATTTTGACCTGGAAATAATTCTAAAGCAGATTTTCTGTACAATAATCAGGCACATTTAGAACATGTGACAGTATAAAGGTTTAATCACCACTCCTTAGGGGTGATTTGCAGGCCTCATTGGTACATTGCTCATCTGAGTAATACAAGCAGCCCCAACACACACCAATAAATACTTTATATCACACCACATGGCATATTCACTTTCATCTGTTGTTCTGTAAAGTACTGATACTCTTGTACACACAACGTTTAGTTTTCATACAGCCAAGATGCAATCCTATTTCACAACTAAAGAATAATGCAGGGCTTTCAAGGCTCTAGTTTGTGCTAATTTTTCGCTGTTTGAACTTGCTCATTGCCAAATCGATATGTAGGCAATTACTGCAACCATACATGGCTGGTACTTCTCCATAATTCATTGACTGGAATCACAGTCTTACTGAAATTCTTGCTGGAGGGTTATTTGTAACTTCTGGTAACATAAGACTAGGGATAAATTAATTCCCTTATTTATACCTGGTCCCCCTCCCCTCTTTTTCTTCCAACTAAATGCACAAATATTTGGTGTTCTCAGACAACACTTAACCCCATCCTGCTAACTGGTAGGTTGCTGTAAAAATATATCTAGAAACACGCAAACTTTTCTCCAATTAGTGCAACACATCTGAAGTTCTCCTCTCAAACACACCCTGCAACAATGGTTTTTGGTAACATTTGTATTAATACCACTAGTTTAATGATTTAAGCAATGGGCCTTGTTAGGTCAAACCAATTTTTATTGTCCTAAATCCAGCTTGCTGTCCCTATGTGTAAAACGCAAAGTGCACTTACCTCCTAGCATCTCCATTCTGCAGTGCTACAGAAAGCCATGCCATTCACATTGAACCAAAATTTAACAGTGCTTTGATGCCTGATACTTAACATTTTATGAGCTGGTAGATTAGATTCTCTCCACTGCAAGTTTTGGTCCTCTTTAAGGTGACAGGTATGGGAAGTCTAATTTATCAGCTCCTAAGAATATAAATCTACATCAAAGAGGATGGAGCTTAAGCACTTACCTTTTCAGCAGCACCTTTGTTCAGCAGCCAGCATACAGAGCAGAAGCTGACAATGCTTAGCTAGCGATCACTCTCTCTAGCTAGAAAAGAAGAGAAATGGGCCTGGATTAGAGATTTACAAAAAAAAGAAAGACCAGAGCCTAAATCAAGCACTTAATTTCATATGATTACCAGTATCACTGCACGTAGGTTCACAGAAAAGCCACCTTTGTTTGAAAAAGGAAGCTATAGCTGACATGGTACTGCACGCTGTATTGCTCCTACTCAGCAAAGGTAAAGTCAATATGGTCCATGCAACAGGACTTGAAAGAGATGGCATTAAAAAGGGAGTCTGCTCTGCCAACAAATGGTGTGTGATGGTCTCCCTGATCAGAATCAAAGTCCCTATGCACAAAAATATCAGTCCTGGGAATGCCAATACACATTTCACATGGAGAATTCTCTTCCTAATGGAGGGTAGGTAAAGACCACCTGTTCAGATTTCACAGCATTCTATCCAGGCGCTCAGACTGTGGTGTAAACCCCTACATTTATTTGTAGACAGCCTCTGTGGATTATGATAAACCAGCAATGTTTTATTAGTGTTATTCAAAACTTGAGGTAGTTTTTCCAGCCTTTCTTAGGAAAATCCCCAAACTGGTACATTTCCCAAATTCTCTGCATAATCTCCTCCAATTAATCCCAGAGCTGCCTTCAAGACAATGATGGTCAGCCAGCCAGTGCCTGAAATGGTTCCACTTTTCCTTTCATGAGCCTGCAGTGAGTAATTTGTGCAACTGTTCCACATGGAGCCCAGTCTGGACTTTCCATCACAGAACTCATTTATCACAAGAAACCAAGAGTCACCTGTCAATTTGTCAAGGAAAACTGCAGCTGACTCTTGCAGCAACCCAAACATGTTTCACCACTTCCCCCTATCACATAAAGCAAACAAAGAAGCTCAAGGCTATCTTTGCTTCCCTTCACAGCAAAGACTGATCTCTTAACTGCAATTTTAAGATATGCTCTGGTTCATTAAAGAACATGAAAAAAAAATCTCGCTGTCACCTCCTTTTGTTTTTAAGAGTTTTGCTATTATTCATTCAGGCTTTCTAGTAGTTTGTTAGTTTCCACAGTTGGCTGAAGCTAACACAAGCAGCAGCCCATGATCTGAAAATTCCCTTTACAGCATTTAAACAAGACATAGCTCCAAAAAGAAAGCAAACAATAGCAGAACACATTAGATTCAATTATGCCAGTTTGCTTCCACATACTTGGACAAGTGCTTCTACTGAGTATTGAATAGAGACTTTTATTTACATCAAGTGATTAAAAAGACAAGGCCCAGGAAAGTCAAAGGATCATAGGAAAGTAAGACTGGAAGGGACCTGGGGAGCTCATCTAGCCCAGCCCGCTGCTCAAGCCATGATCATCCCTGACTACACCATCCCAGGCAACTGTCTGTCTAACCTGTGTGAAAACTTCCAAGATCAGACATTCCACAACTTCTCTAGGTAGCCTATTCCAATGCCTGACCACCTTCATAGTCAGAAAGTCCCTCCTGATCTCCAATTTACATTTCCTCTGCTGCACCTTGAGGCCATTGCTCCTATGGCCATACAGAAAATCCCATCTCTGTCCTCACTGTATAAAGAATCATCTCCCTTGATTTGCAATTGACACTTCTGTTAATACAAGCCAGCATGCTGTTGGCTTTTATGCACCAAGAGCAGACTGTTGGCTTATATTCAGCTTATGGTCTACTACTGTAACCCCTAGGTCAGGGGTGGGCAAAATGTGGTCCATGGGCTGGATCCAGCCTGCCAAGGATTTTATCCAGCCTGCTGCAGGTTCCATAGTCCTGCCCAGTCCAGGCATGGGGTATGATGCTTGTGGCTGGTCCCATTGCCCCTGGGGACATGGCAGGGCAGGGGTGGTGTGGTCACCAGACTCTCTGCTTGGCTGCCACTGCCAGTCCACCCTGCACCGATGGAATGAGTGGGCGGGGTCACCGTGGAGACCAGCCCAGGACAACAGCGAGCAGAGCATGCTTGGAAAAGTGGATGGGACGGGGCCATAAATGGATGGGTAGTGATGTCTGGGAGTGGGATGGGTGGGCAGGGGCCAGGATCAGGATTGTGGGGAAGTGGCAGTGTGGGGCCAGGTCCTGGGTGACAATGGTTGCCATTTCCCCGTTGCAGGAATGGGTGAGAAGCAGATCACAGTTGTGCCCTGGGCCCTAGTCCTGCATTGTCACTGCCCTGCAATCCCAGCCCCGACCTTAGCCCCACGCAGGTATCCTGCTTCTGCATGCCACTCCCCACCCATCCACAGCCTCATCCCATTCGCCCAGTCGAGTGCCTCCCTGCCCATGGGGGTCCTGGGCCAGTCTCCCTGAAGACCCTACCTACCTGCTCCATCCAACACCCCCAGGTGCAAGTGCAGTGCAGATGGGTTGGGACCAAATAGGACCAACTGCACCCCCACCCCAGGCCAGGCTAGCATCCCTTACCAGCTCACCAAAACTTAAGTGGCCCTCCAGCCTAAATTATTGCCCGCTGCTGCCCTGCACTACTGCAGCCTAGCTAGTCATTCCTCAGTCTGTATTTGTGCATGTTATTATTAGGTGCTAAATGCAGGACTTTGCCCTTGTCCTTGTTGAATCTCATCTGATTCATTGCAGACCATTTCTCCAGTCTAGCCTGGTCATTCTGCATCTTACCCCTGCACTCCAGATTATTTGCAACTCCACCTAACTTGGTGTCATCCACAAATTTGCTAACCGTACACTCAATCCCACTGTGCAGATCATTAATGAAGATTCAAAAGCCTACTTCACCTCTTCCCCCCTCTGCATTCATTTACAACACTACAGCAACTTAACATGCAATTTCCTTCTAAGCAAATACTTCAAAAGAAGGACAGCAACCCAAGTTAACATCTAAATACCTTCCCCTTTTATTATTTCCATTGCATCTCTGGACCTAAATATCATGATGGTTATGCTAATCTAGATGGATAGATAGATAGAAAGAAAGAATATAGAGATGGAAAGAAAAAGCTGAAGAGCGAAAACTGCTAGTTTTAACTGTGAGTTAAGTCTTAAGTTGCCCCTAGTAAGGGATTGTCCTTTTACTGCTCTATAAACTGGACATACTGAGTGCGTCTACATGTGCATTAAGGCGCTTTTTCTAATGTGCATTAAATTTAGTATCTCCCGTGTGAGGTACTAAACAAATGTGCATTAGGCTGCCTTAGTGCTTAGTAATGAATGTGCAGTTTTTAAGTGATGCGTAATGCACAGCAGCCTATTTTACTGTGCATTAGCATAATTGTTTTTACATGATGCTTTAATGCACAGTAAAATAGGCTACTGTGCATTAAAGTACACATGTAGATTTCTGTTTGACTGCCATATGGCCTTGCAAATTCATCTGTCTTCTACCCACCCTCATTCCAAGACTACTTTCATTCAGCACTTGGGAATCCCATGCCCCCAAATAATAACATTTCAAGTTATTTTTCCTCTAGTATCTTATACAGTCCTTCTTAGAAAATGAAATCTTAAATTTCAATATGTACTAGTCATATTTTTAATCTTTACATTTCCCTGTGTGTTATTTTTCTCTTTGAGTTTGCTACATATTCAAAGTTTAGTTTCATTTGTAAATTTAATTAAAAATACAAATCTTTATGAAAATGGTTAAAACAACTTAATTTAGCAACTTTCTCCAAAATACAAGGCAACCCCTTCAGAAAAATTCTACACAACATTGTCAGAATTACTGATAGTTTAAGGCCCCATGGCATATACTTTTGCCTTAATGCACAACAGCATTACAACAGACAAGCATGACATACTGACGATATCAAGGGTGGGCAAAATCTGGCCTGCCAGGCCACTCTATCCAGCCCATGGGGCACCTAAGAAGTTTAGAAAATAAATATTTATCTGCTCCTGGCTGCCTGTCAAAGATGACAGGAGACAGAGGCAGCAGGACCTAGGGGAAGCCAGCAGGAGTCAAGAGAAAGGCCAGCCCTGCACCACTCCACCCCAATCCCCACCCCACCACCCAGAAGCCTCTGCCTACAGCTACTTTCCCTGAACACGGCTGCTCCAGCACCACATGGCCCCCGGCTGCGTTGCTGGACCATGGGAGCACAGGGCCGCACCAGTACCTTGGGGCCAGGAGCCAGAGGGGTGGGGGGGCGGGGGGGCAAGAGAGAAAGAGAGAGAGTGTGTAGTGAGCGAAGCACACTGTGTGTGCAATGAGGGAAGGAGAGGGAGAGAGTGTGAGTTCGTGGGGTGAGTCCCACAAACACCCCCACCATACACATGCACCCACACCCCCCTCACACTGCCATATACGCAGACCCCCACACCCCCTCACCCACCCCAGCCACCCTCACTCCACACAGTCCCCCATAAACCCCATACCCACCCACACCACACATATCCACACACACATGCTCCCTCACCCCACACCCACGTCCCACACACCTATCCACCCCTCTACAAGCCCCCTATACATACCCACATACCCAAAGCCCCCCACAAACCTATACTCACCCCACATGGCCCTCCCCCCGTATACAAGAGTAAGACTTCATTTTAAGCTATTGTGCAATTACCTCTCCGTACACTACACAAACACACATAAATCAGGACAAAAATATTTTTTTAAGTCAAATTAATGAATGTTGTAGATGTTTGATTTTTAGACTATAATTTGGTATTTTCCTGGTTCTGAAATGGCAAAACCCTTTGCTGAAAGGAGTATATCTGAGAGCAAAGGGAGGGGCTTCTGGTGGCAAAGGTCGGGGGTTAGAGGGCAGGACTTCTGGTCCCAAGATGGTGACCAGGGGCCGGGGCACCTGTTAAGGGGTGGGGCTACCCATGAGGCCCTTGACAGCTTGCTAAAACTTGGTAAGCAGCCCTCCACCTGAAATAAATTGCCCGCCCCTGGGCTATACCCTAAGCTTCCATTAAGAGGAGCCATTTGGTAGAGGTGCACCGATACATTGGTCCAATATTGAATCGGCACCAATATAAAGAAAATTGACTGTATCAGAAATCAACCTGATGTGGCCAATAATTTGG